AGCTGTGCACTGAGTCACAAGAAGCGAGTGCAACAATTTCTACTTTTGTTGGCTGAGAGTTTTTCTTTCATTCTTTCTTTTTTTTCTAAGCCTGTCTTCGAGAAAGTGTGCGAACACACAACTAATCTGCAGCAGCAAATATGTTTTGAAGGGAACAGTGTTGGCTGGATTATGTTTTCTATTAATATAAAGAGGTAATGCCGTTAATTAATGGGCAATCTGCTGAGTTGCAAAAATGTTAAAATTGAATGTTTCAGTAAAACGTATTCAGCCCAAAAAAATATCCAGTCTTGCAGCTGTAGCATTTCTGAACTTTCTGGGTGCATTTTGGCAACAGCAGCAGTTAGTTAATGTTGGGGACAGATCTTTGTCTGGTTTAATACAGAAAAAGTCTGTAGTGACTTTACAAAAAATGTGTTTGTTATTGTTTAACTGTAAACACAACCTTTCCCTGAACCTACCTCACTTCCCTAAACCTGAAGTACAGATGTAAGTCTGGATGTTGTCAAAGTCTTGCTCTTTGTAAATTTACTTTTCACTCTTGCCAACTCCCTGCAAATTATGGTACACACAGCACCTAATAAGAGTACATACTTTTTAAAAACATGACCATGATTCAATGTTGAAAAAGAAATAAAAGAGGAAAACGTCAAAGAGAGGTAAATACTTTTTGCAGGCACTACAATTGTACTTCTTTATTCTCTCTAAAAAATATTGGCTCCGAAAATAATTCCAGTGAGTGATTGCATTTGTTGCCAATGAAAATGTAAAAACAATCTCCGACAAGCAGGTGAACTTAACATACACAGTGGAAAAATCTATTATGGTGAAAACACACCAAGTGAACATGACGCAAATAGGAATGAACAACAAATCCGAGGCGATAGAAAAACCACTCATGTATTTCGAGCAGACCGGCCCACAGACACGCAGGCAGTGTCACGCTCGCCGTACTGAGGACTTTATCTCCATTCTCTGCTGTGATCATATTGGCCTTTTGGGCCTAAGTATCTCCTCTGCTGAAGCATAACAGCCAAAACAGCAGTTCCCTGTTGGATTAGGACATCACTGTCAGAGAGTGCCCAGCTCCGCTTTGACGGACTTATTAGCAGAACGTGTGTCACTGTGAGGCTCTGCAGCGGCGACACGATGTAAAATCGAGCAGTGTGTCTCGCTGTGTTACTTTGGTGCTTCACAAGATGTTCAGAAAGACGGAATAAAACAGCAAGACATGGTATCATCATATCATAAAAAAAAAGGTACAAAGTAGAAGCACTTGTAGCAGCAACTCCTGTCGTGATTATTTAGTGTTCTTGAGTTGAAAATGTCAATTCTTTGGCTGCATAGCTGTACACAGTGTAAGACAATCGCAGATGCAGATATTAGCTCCTGTATCTTTGGGCATTGCTGAAAAGGTTGCGAGCAACCAATCAAAAGACTCCTGTTGAATAAAGAGCTTGATTGTAGGAGACACTAATCGAGCAATTCAAGGCATTTACTGCTACTTATGTAAACTCCAACTATAAAGATGGTCTTGAAAGCTATAAACAATCACTGAAATGTTTTTCACACGACTTGAGAGCCGCATTCTAGCTGTGAATGAGGGTTCATGGTGGGAGGATGTGGATGTATGGGGCTGTTATAATCACTGTGATGTCTTTTTGTTATAGTGTGAAGTGAAACTCAAGCTAAGACTAAAGCCAGACAAACAAAACCCTTTTTATAGCAAGGCAGTTGCTAATTATTGGCCGTGTTTCCTCAGAAACAGTCTGGCTTTGTGGGAGTTTGCTTGTCATTCTGGCTTGCTGGTGGCTGGCGAGTAGCCAATGGCTGATTCAAAATTTAGAAATGCTGCCGGCAATCTTTGATCATTTGGCAGAAAGAAGATTTGTACTTTTTAAAACTATTTCACAGGCACTTCCTATGTGTCCCTCCATTGTTGCATTTAATCTTTTTGCAGCTCTCCAATACTTAGTTAAATCTTTAAGAGCAACTTCCTCCCCTACAAGGCACTAAACTTTTCCATGTTTGTAACAAATTTAAATAAATTGCACTCAGTTAATATGTCAGAACAGAATGTGTTGTGCTGCTGAAAAAGACCCCTTATTCAAAAAAAGCTAAAACCTTTACAAATAATTGGCAGGAACGATTAAAAAAAAAAAAGGAAAACCTTCAAAAATCAAACCATAAAGTACTCTTTCTCCGCAACTGTCATTTGAGGGCAGAGATAAAACTGAATAGTTGATTTGATTCACAGTGGCTTTTTATTAACAACCACACATGCGCCAGAAAAAATGTAATTACCTAAAAATCAGCCTCACTTTTACCTTCAATTTTCTTTAAGCCAATTTAAAAGGCAAAATGTGTGAGATGCCAACCGGTGAGGCAGCTTAATCGGCTATTTACTGTTGCAGACATGATTCATTTTCTGTACAATGCAAACATACAGGTTTTATTCATTTGACTTTAATAGAACTTTAACACAATGGTTTTCGCTCACTAAAAAAAAAAAAAAAAAAAAGCTTTTTTGTCTCCTTAATTCTAGATGCACTCCAGTAAATACAGAGCCTACAAATTAGTCCAATGTGCACTTCCATTTTAGTAAAACCTTTATAAAACTTCAGCTCTGTCAGCTGTCAGTGTGTCGTGCACACAGCAGCAGGGGACTCTGGTCGAGTGCAGAGGAAACTGGAGCTCCTCCACATCACAGTGAGCAGGGAGACGGTTGCTGTATAGATTGTGAAATTTCCCCTAACTCCTACTCTCTGCAGACAGCTGATGTTTATCTGCTCTGCCCATCTGGGCCTTGTGACTAAACATCTGGTAAAGCTGCCACTGTGCATGCAGTGTTTCACAGAGTGATGACAGTGAAGGGGCACAGTGAGGGTCCATTCCTTTCAAAAAGATCTTAAGAGGCAGGGAGGACTTCATCGCTCAGACTTCAAGTCTCATTCTTAAAACCTCACTCAATTACCAGAGTGTTGTCCAGCCATCCAGACATTTATGTGGTTGTTTTGTTTAACTGCGTACTTCTAATAATCACGATAGTGGTTTCATTAGTTTGCAATTACAATTATGATTGGATGGCCTGATTTGAAATAAGAAATTCTTTGCCTGCAGCTTCTGTCTTCATTTTTTCTTGTATTATTATGATCTCAGGGTAAATTATCACACAACATCATTATAAATACCTACAAAGAGAAATGCAATTGTCGAATTAAAAAGCTATTTTTGGGCCACCATGCTGCAAATCCGTCAGAATGAAGCACAGAGAGCTCCAGGGGATCATTATGGTCTGTATAACATGGACCGTTTTCCTTCTACATGGTGTTTTTGTCAAAAACTGTCTGTTATTGGTGGTTAAAAAGCAGGCATCGCTCCATCATCATTACCCAGACTCCCCTTTGAACATGTTTGCCAGTTTACTTTTCTACCTGTTTGTCTATTTTTAGCTTAAAAAAAAAAAAAAAATAAATAAAATAAATCAAGCCTGTGTAGTTACCCTTTCCTCTCCCTCTTCTCTTCTAGGCTTTCCCCTAGAATGAGATGTTATGCAGTGACTGGTAGGCTTTCATCCATTATGGATGCTGTGTTTTAGGAGGATGATCTGTGCAGAGTGATATAAATATCTCCTTTTGGTTCCCAGCAGGATGGGAGAAGCAGCACAAGACAGGCCACTGTGTAGTGTTAGAGGGAGGGCATTTTCATTATTTGATTCCATGTCCAGAGTTAAAGAAAGCAAAGACTCGCACGTGACCAGCAGACGGCGTCGCTGTCAATAATTCATGCACCGTGGCAAATCTCCTGACACCTCCACTTCAGTGGGATCTACACATACGTACTCAAAATGAGAGAAAAACATGTTGTGATAAGAAAGAGCCATTACTGGCAGCCACTATACTTCCATCCCCATTAAAATAATTGAAAAAAATATCACAGCTTCAGAGTGCAGGGTTTGACAGCTGCTGCAATGTAGCGCAACTTTGTGATCCTGAAAGAATTTTTGCCCTTTCTGTCCTCTGGTACAGGCAGCGCCACAGCAGGGGGCTGTATGTTAGCATACAAAAGCAGCATAAAGTAAAGCCTGGCAGATACTCCGTGTGTGTGTGTGTATCTGATGGTCAATTGAGAGAGGGACAGCTGCAGGCCTCTCCCACTGTGTCCAGATCCATCAGTCTATTAGTCTGGCGCTGTGGAAGAAGTCGGCCCACTGTTGAGAGAACGCACACAGACACACACACACACACACACTGTATGTACATATTTATATAAATATATATGTTTGAGTGCAAGATGCAGAGAGAGAGAGCACCCAGCACCACTGTTGATACAAGGGGAAGGAGAAGATACAAGGGACTGAATGTTCAAAAAGCTGATATGTTAATAACTCAAGGGATATTGTTTCTTTGATTATCAGAATCCTGTGCTCTTAATTTAGCACCGTATTTCATAACCTTTTGGTGAAACACTCTCGAGACGATCTACATGAAGAGAGCGCTGTGCAGTTATGAAGCTTATGGAATGGTGCCAAGCAGCAGCAAATCAGTTATGCTCAAGGCACATAGAAATAATTCATTGCAGTGCTCTGAAAGCAGTTGAGGCATGGGTGCAACACAGAACAGATTTCCTGTGCAGCGCACTGGGTCCAGGTATTCTTTCTGTTTGAATTTAAGGATCCAGAAACCACACTGGAGCTTCAGCTGGCCGGTGCAAATGTGCTGTACAATTAATTGAAATGGAGTGCATGACATTGCAGTGAGTCTCAGGTCCACCGACTCAAGTAGGACTTTGTAGGAGATTCTACAAAGGAGGGAAAACCTTCACTGAGACTCATACAAGGCAGAACTCTGCATAAATGAATCTTCACTGATACTGGATAAATGGTATTCCGTTCGCTTTTCCTTTCCTTTCTTTTAATTTTTTTTGTTGTTGTTATTACGACAGAGGTTGCTCTTTCCGCTGTTTCTTTAGTGTTTCACACTTCTCCTCTCTCTTTGCAGGAACCCACTTGCTCGCCTTGTGACTTTCTGCCTCCTTGATGGACCAAGAGGAAAGCTAAATGCACCCGAGTGATTCTGGAGCACCTGAGAAGAGAGGCAAGCTTCCCACCTTTGTTCTTGCCTTATGAGAGTGCTCTCTGTGGACTCCACCTCAGCACTCTCTGTACTGTTTAGTTACCGCATGTATCCACGGCTCTCAGGTGTAGGAAAAGAGTGAAACACAAAGAGGAAAGAAGAAAGGCGAGGAGATAAAGAGAGCGAGGCTGCATAATTAGTATTACTGGGTTTGTGTCAGAACTAGAAACCATGAGAAGAGACTTCTGAAGACGACCGTGCTCTGAAAAATATTGCGGCTATCCTTCAGGACAATTGTATATGTGTGTGCGGGTATATGTGTGCACACCTCTTTCATTTTCAAAGGACTTGAATTTGTATTTGGATGCGGATTTAGCCTTTCATTATGACTCTGCGAAGAAGCTTTGAGAGAGCGTGGATTGGCTGCCACAGAGGTGTCTGCTGCTGGGTGTTGCTGCTGGCTTGTTATTTCTCGATTGCACTGGCAGCCAAACCCAAAATGCCAGGCCACACGCACCTCAACTCAATACGCATTGATGGGGACATATCTCTAGGTGGGCTGTTCCCGGTGCACGCGAGGGGGAACGATGGCAAAGCCTGTGGAGAGCTGAAGAAGGAGAAGGGGATCCACAGGCTGGAGGCCATGTTATTCGCCCTGGATCGTATCAATAATGACAATGAGCTGCTGCCTAACATCACTCTGGGGGCGCGCATACTGGACACCTGCTCCCGGGACACCCATGCTCTGGAACAGTCGCTGACATTTGTTCAGGCATTGATTGAGAAAGACTCGACTGATGTCAAGTGTCTCAGCGGAGGGCCGCCCATCATCACGAAGCCTGAGAGAGTGGTGGGAGTGATTGGTGCGTCGGCCAGCTCCGTGTCAATCATGGTCGCCAACATATTGCGTCTCTTCAAGGTCAGTTTCTCATACAGCATGCACTTACTTACTTTACTTTTTCTCTTCGGCATTTTCTAATCATGACTGCAGATTTTAATTATGTCATTGAATTCCCTGCAGCACACAGTACTCCCTCACTTAAAAACAATACCGGCTAAAAGCAAACAATGTATTTAAACCTTATACAGTTTTAATATCCACACACCGTAAGCAGAGGTCATTTCACTGGAACATAAACATACAAAACCACATACATACACTCAGCACATGTTTTTATCGCCTTCCTTATGACCTTATTATTTTCCCCACGAGCTTGAATTACATTAGTTTCAGACGTTTCTCCCACTGTCCAGAAAACTAGGCGCTGATCATTACACCATAATTCTTCTCACTAATGACATTAATTAGCCAAGAGTCCTCAATCTTGCCTTCTTCTAATTAATTCAGGGAAGCCATGCATGGCACCACGAGTTCATTGTGCTACTACAGAGTATAGCATACAAAATGAGCTGTTGGGTCAACACATGCAAATACAATGTGCAAATGAGAACAAAACCTAAACGCTATACTGCATGACGGGACTATTTTAACACCTGCTCAATGCTGCCAAATCAAACTACCACACATCTGAACTAATGAGCATCACGACTGCGTCAAAGCAGGTTGTTTTTATTCACAGTCCGTAACAGGAAGAAGACGACGGTTATGTATGGTTATGTATGGTAACCTTTGCTCTTTGAACACAGGTGGGGAACTCTTTTCAGTTCCTCATGAGTGATCACAGACTAACAATGTGCATGTCAATCTGTGTGAATCCCTTTAACCCTTCCAGGGCTGAAAATAAAGTGTATAAGTGGCTTATTTCTGTGTTCCTAATCCATTAAGCAAATAGCGACTAGTGAAGAGGAGTCGGAGAACGGAGCCAGAGCTACTACTCTAATTGCGAGTTATACTACATACATGCTTGATCTCTTAAAAGCGCCCGATAGAAAAGTAGAGCACCTACTGTGACATTGATTCAACAATATCTCACCTGTCTACCGCCATTCTTATACTCATGCTACCTACTTAACAGAGAGCATGAAGATAAATAGTACAATATGCCACGTAAAGTAGTCTGGCTGATATGTCACAAATCGCCTGGAATAAATGTTGCACTGCAAATCCTTGGTGCCTCTTCAGAAAGTGGTGAAGGAACCACATGTTCCAGTCTTTTTCTAGTCCCATGCTCGCACCAGTCAAACAACCTTCGCCATCGTGGGAATGCACAGTCTAATTATCCTTGGTGACATATCTCACATGGGAACTGTCTCACTGCACAGTACTGCCGAAGAATGCAGTCTGCTTCCATATGTGGATTGGTTGGTATGCTGCCCCAACACCTCATGACACCTGACAACATCTTCTCAGGCAGCGCATGACTCTGTTTCATATATGCACTGAGTTGTAGGAGGTGTTTCCCGCAGCAGTTCACCATCAGCCTCTCTGCTCAAGCAAAGTCATGACACCGATGCGGCTCTTAGCACAGAGCACCAACACCAAAAAGCAAGAGTTGAACTACGCAAGACTGCCAACTAACTTTATGCGGAGGGCAAAGGTCACAGCAGAAAGAGCCCACGCACATTTCTTAAGATACCGTTTAGCCATGTACAAAGGGAAGCCCAAAACCCTGGGATGACTCCTACACCGCAAGCTACTGCACAACTACCCAACACCAAATGTTCCACCACATAGAGCTGTTGATGCTGCCAGGACTCCTCACGGAGGGCACATGAACCGCCAGAGGAGGGCCTGTCCACTCACAGACTTGTGAGATGTCTTCACACGGCTAATTGGCAAGCCTTTGTGTGGACAGAATTTCGCCAATGAACTGTTGTGTGTTCCAAATCGCACGCCAAATCCTGCAGTGAGAACAAATTATTTAGCGTTTTCTCTTTTTTTTCCCTGCTCTAAAGGGCATAGCGCTGCACCATCCAAGACTCAGTGTTCTTGGTCAAAGAATAAATTTTGTGCGAGTGTAATGCAACTCAGACTCTGATAGGCTTTAGATGGACCCAAAGGGTGGACAAATTATTCACCCTCTAGGCTCAAGCCAGACTATGCAGCAATCCTTTTTGATGGACAAAGGCCTTAAAGGCGTCTGCCCAGTGGGCTCGAACAACCTCCTTGACAGGGCCTTGAGAGCAACTTGGCAAATCCCATTGAGGGCAAAAGGAGACTGCTACAAGATGCTGTCACTTCACTCCAAGCATGAAACACTATATTTAAAGATATGGTTGCTAAAAACCACCTTTCTCCAAAGCACTTATAAAAAGTCTTTGACATTTGGAATTGGCAAACAAGTTTGTGTTAATTTTCTCACCTACAGTAGGAAGTTATCTTTACTTGCAAGCGTCAAATGGCTGAACCCAGTGCTAAACACAATCCTATAAATCTGCAGTCTGTCCTTTCAAAAGACACATGGGTAAAAGGTATTGGGAGCAGCCATTAGCTGAGCATAGTATGCATAATACAGCCCTCTTGCAGAATAACCATGAGCTGCTTCTGAGTCCAACTCTTTGCACCAAAAGTGGGATCAGCTAGAAGGAGAGAAAAGGCTTTTAGGTAATGGAATATGTGCACATGCATCCGCTTCCAGTGGTGGATTGTTGAGCAAAAAAAACCCAGGGTGTTCTGTCTCTGAACAGTTCACATCATTTAAGATCTAAAAAGTATCAGGAAGTCGTGTGTCGGCAAGGGACAGAAAAAAAAATCTGACACATTTCAAGGTTGTTTTGAAACAACAACATGGCATGGCAGTACACTCAAAGAATAATAAAAAAAAAAGGATGGTAAACAGGCCAGTTGATTATAGCTCTGCTACTTCACAGAAAAGAGAACAGACTGAAGGAAGGCAATGAATTGTCCAAACTCAAGTTGTTTGCAAACACTTCTTTTTTGAAAGCACACTGCGGATCATCTCCGAACAGAGAAAAGGACAGCGAATCTGCTCATACAGCTAAAATCTGACAACTGCTTCAACAACACAGTCCAAAAAAAAAAAAGGAAAAAACATGGACATTTGAGTGTGACTGAAGTGAAAATAATGTATGAAACAGGCACAGCAGCTAAACATGGGATATGTTTCTCTTTGGTTCCTAAAGTTACTTAAAATGCCAAGGAGAAAACATTACAGTAGTGACGAATAAGAAGAAAAGGCAGACACCACAATGGTCGTAACCCCTCAAAGTTTTTTTCTGTTTTTCATATTTACGTCTGTGGTATTTCAAATCAACATTGTGGAGAACTGGAAAGCCGTAAAAAGCCTTTAATCAACTTATCTTCTGTTTTGTACTCGACAGGCGGAACAGTTTTTCATGAATCACGCTGATAGGGAAACAAGAAGCCATGGAAATGTGATTTGTATGGGGCCCGGAAGTGGCCCCAGGTGAAGAGAATAATACAGGGTTTAATATTTTGAATTATATTAACACTACATCAGGTCACAAGATGATATTACATATGCATGAGGTAGATGCTGTACTCATATTTCAGTGAACTGTAGTGCAGCAGATACATATTATTCCATGTTGTGCCTTTGTCTCTAAAAAAAAAAAAAAAACACTTTCAGGATTTCAGCTTTGTGTGAATAAATTTAATAACGTGAAAACAAAATGTTCCCACAGTGATTAATTTCGCTTCATCATATCTACCATCCATCATTCTCTGTTTTACAACCCCGCATTAAATTTGAATTTACTTGACTGCATTGTTTGCATTTCTGTTTGATGTAATTATGCGGCTATTTTGTCAAATAAGACGTTTCTTAATGGAATGAGGCCTCTGAGCTAAAATCAGTTTGTTGCATTTTTGTGAGGGAGACACTGCGCTGCAAGGCAACACGCTACTGTAGAAAGAACTGGCAACACATTCAGAGCCTCCACCACTGTTAAAGGGCAAACTGGAGGGACGGTATCGAGTGTTGGTCATTAAAATGGCCAAGGTTTTTAGTGTCTCTCTGTGCCGGTGGAGATGCATAAACTTTTTGGTGACTTTGTGAAGAAAGTCATGTTCATTCTCTGGCACGTGTCCAGCGGCATTGTGGGAGATGCAGGTAATTACTAACTGAAGCAGAAGAAGATGAGTCAGGTTGAGGGAGAGTGGGTATACTCAAAAAAACAAAAACAGAAAACAAATTAAAGATTTAGATGTACTCATTTTACATAACAAGTAAGAATATTATAGGTTTTTCTTAGAAACACTATAAACTTTCACGGTGGCCTTTTTGAGCATGATTTGAATTTCACACTTCTGAATATCAAAGTTTAAATGTCAGTAAGACCCATCAGGAACCACCGTGCTGCTTGCCAGGATATTGATTCACAAGTAAAGTTAAGGTTGTACTTTCTCACAGTACATCTCGATAGATTCTGGCTCTTTTCTCCATCATTAAAGTCTATATGAAACCATGTGTCGGATTCCTCTGAGTAGCAAAGGAAGGCTTCACTGCTCACTACACTCCTCTCAAACTATTTGTTTTCCTCACCTGAGCTGTTGCTGTGAAGCCAAACTAATAATGATGAGTCTTTTTGGCTTGTAGCACAACTTGGTGTATGAGCTACTATGTGCTGGTCAATAGCTTCATGTTGGGAAGTTGTTTCTCCTTTTTTGCTATTTTGCTAAGAGTTGCTTCATTATTACATTATTACTTGATGATTTAATACACGGGGCTGCAAGGTGGCGCAGTTGGTTAGCACTGTTCCCTCGCAGCAAGAAGGTTGTCGGTTCGCGTCTCGGTGAGGACACCCAGGATCTTTCCGCGTGGAGTTTGTATGTTCTCTCCGGGTTCTCCGGTTTCCTCCCACAAGGTCCAAAAACATGTTGAGGCTAATTGGTGATTCTAAATTGTCTGTAGGTGTGAATGTGAGTGTGCTTGGTTGTCTGTCTCTAAGTGTAGCCCTGTGATAGACTGGTGACCTGTCCAGGGTGTCACCTGCCTTCACCCTGAGTCAGCTGGGATAGGCTCCAGCCCCCCGCGA